AGGCAATCTAACTTTATAGCGAGAATTTTCATATGTTATATTTGATTCGAAATATTCGACGACTTCATTTTCAGTTGAATCGAAGTTTTCCCTCTTATCAATAAGTCCTGAGTTTTCCAAGTCCCAAAATTTTGTTATTTGTTTGGAAATCAAATCTTCCCCTACAACTACATTGAAAGCTAAAGAGACATCATCATCACCTTTTCGTCCATGTAGGCACCAGCCGAAAATAGTTTCCACTGCAACAAGATTTTTGCTTAAGTATTTAACGTGTCCCATTACTATGTTGTAATAATAATCTGCACCAATTAGAATGGCAATGGGTTTTTTACAATCGGGAAAATCTGCGAGCATCAAATTTTTTAATTGTCTGTTTTGCTTAATTTCTTCTGATTTAGGAGGAGGAATATCTGTACCTGATATATGATCAGTTACTAATAATTCAACTTCTATTCTAGAATCGGGAGAACTTCTATGTTCTAAAGTTAATTTAACTACGTCATAATTTTTTTGGATGGGAGAAGTATTCCCAAAAGTGTAGACAGTCAATTTTTCTTTTCTTATGACTTCGAGGTTTAATCTGTCCGCTAACTCGCGAGCACAAAAACTTTTCATACTTCCACTATCCAAGAGAAGTCTGGCAAACACCTTTTCCTTAGCTGTTTTAACTTTTATCGTGCAAGTCTGTAAAAGAATTGTATTATTTGCATTATGTGAAACGGCCGAAACAATTTCTTCTTTCTGTTCCTTAGTTTGTGTATCATTTTTCGAAATTAATATATACTATCCTTTTTATCACTTGGTGTATTTTTAACTATCGAACTGGATTTAAAACATATGGCTTCTGAATGTTTACCTTTGCAAATTTTACAAACTTTAGTTTGGCGTTGTCCGGCACTGTGAGATTTTGTGTTTAGGGGCCAAACAAAGAAAACAACGCGCTTGTTTTTTCAAAATATCTCTCTTCTCATTAACTGTAAGGCATAAACAGGACTCTGAGTCATGGTTTTGAAAACAAAAAATGCAGTTTCCATTTGATGACGCGGCTGCCATAAATTCATGTGTGGTGACAGTTTGTTTATGTTTCGGCGTCGGTGGATATCTGTTAATACCTTTCATTTCCGGTTTTTTGACTTGCGTGGAAAGGATAACGAATTAATCTTTTTCTCGCGATTCTATTTCTAATCGGAGAAAGTCTAGAAATTTGTTTAAATCATAGGTTGAAGGATTTTCAGTATTTGTACGATGAAATTCTAAAGTTATATCGTTCGGGACAATTTTCATCAAAATTGGAATAAACATGTTGGAATATGTTTCTGGTTTCACACCGAATGCTAAAAGGCTTCTGACTTGAACGTTAATTGTATCATAAAGTTTTCGCAATTTTGCCACTTCACTTGAACTTTGAACGGGATTTAAATTTAAGAGATTAGAAATGTGTGTATTGATAATAAGGTCACTTTGACCGAATCTATTTTTAAGAATGTCTATAGCAGAGTCATAATTAGCCTCTGAGATTGAGAGACCTTCTATGGCTGATGCTGCGTTTCCACATAAATAAGTTCTCAAATAATTAAATTTTTCTATCTTCGAAAGTGTAACATTGTCATGAATAGTGACCTTGAATGAATTCCAAAAATTCATCCAATCGTTATAATCTCCGGAAAATTTGTGAATTAACAGTTTGGGCAATTTCACATTGCCTTCAATCTGTCTTTTGGTTTCAACTTCTGTAGATGAATTATTTAAATTCGTGTTGATATTTTGAGTATTGTATTTCCTTAAATAACGGTTGATTTTAGACTTCGCTATTATTATTTTATCGTTATATTCCATAGAAGTGTTAATATCTGAATCTAATTTTGATTCATCTTCAATCAAATTTTGTATTTTTTCATTTAAATCATGTAGTTTCGTTTCTTTACTATTTAACAATTCCAAACAATTTTCTAACTCTTCTTGATTTTCTTCTTTTAAATACTCATCTACATATTTAATAATTTGAGTTACAGAAGCACGTATATGTGCTCGATTCTTAATTAGTGTCTTTTGTTCCATTTTAATAAATTATCAAAGGAGACTTACCGTGAGAAGTCTTTGCTTACAAAGCTAATCCAAAAGGCGAAAAAAACCAAATTTTCAAATTAATCAGATTCTTTTCCCGGCCGATGCACCATTATGTAACGAAAGTTCTAGATCAAAGTCGAATCACTCATAATCCAAAAGACGAGATGCATGGCCTGGAGGGTTTTCCATAAATTTTAATTAAAACTTAATATTTACATATATACAATGTAGGCTAAAATGCCTGAATCGAATATTTAATGTTCAAAAGGCACTGAATAATTCCAGCTAAAATCTAAATCGAATTCTATTGCGTAGTGCATCGAAATTCTACCTTCAAGAAGAAGAATATTTTTTCAAGTCACGTGTTCAGAAGGGGAAATGTTAAGTAAGCCAATAGATGGACTCCTAACGCCATCTCTTGGCGATATCAAAGAATATTCCTTAACAACCATAACTTGTCTTCTTCGTTAAATTGATGCCCTGTAACTCTCGTGTCGTATTGGGTCTTCATGTTGTCCGTCGCCAAGTTGAATCGATCACGTGCAAAACTGTGCATGACTTCAAGCCTGTTTCCAGATCTTGGATGTACTTCCCAGGCGATTAACGTGCATTTGGAAGGCGGCTAAATAAGAGATTACAGCGCAGACAAAGATCACGACCGAACAGCATATGGGATGAGTTTTAGCCGGTAGTATCGTGCCATAGGGCCAGTATGAACAGCGTAATTTCTTGTCCCAGTCTTTCCGGTTTTTGGAAACAACCAACGAGAGGATACTCAGGATAGTTCGATTAAACCTCTCTACCATGCCGTCTGTCTGGGGATGTAAAGGTGTCGTATGGGTTTTCTCAATGCCGAGAAGCTTGCAGAGTTCTTTAATTACAGCTGAGGTAAAATTTCTTCCTTGATCGACATGTAACTGAAGAGACACTCCGAACCTGGAAATCCAGTGCGGTGTCATTACCTCTGCTACCGCGACACCTGCTTGATTAGGAATAATACGCTTTAAGACACTTGGTGAAGTAATCGTTATAAGGAGGGTTATTTCTGGCAATCAGTAGTTCGTGGCAGATGTCCTAGGAGGTTAAAGTCGATACGTTTAAAAGGCGCTACTGCATTGTAACATAGTAGCTTTCCTTGGGTGCGTTTCTTTTATCCTTTCTGACCCGCAAAGTCATCGCAAGATAGGCACCACTTGTGCACGTCATCTTTTGCATTACTCCAGAGAAGCGCTCTCAAACTCTCCTCAAAGTCTTCGTTATCCCGAAGGTCTTTCGTTATATCCCTTCGTTAATCTGAAGGCTCGATGACATCGCTTTCTTGCATAACCTTTAGACGTTTTCCCACGTCTTCCTGTTCAGCAATCGGTAGATGTCTTAGATGTTGCTTCATTGATAATTGCTTCTCTGTATCAACTCATATCACTTATCATATCATATTCGGATTAATCGCCTTGGCCCAAATGTAACAAAATATTGTTCCATAATATTTTTAAAATATGGTATGGTATTGTTCGAGTTTCCCTATCAGGAGTCCCATTTCTTAGGAGGCAATTCTGCCTTGAGAAGGAATTTCAAGTAGAGAATGCGGTCGGCCTTACATTTGAAAAAATAATATAAATTTTAAAAAATATTTATTTATTTTCCGAGTTTTGGAAGTATGAGGGATGCTCGTCCAGAAATGATGGAAGGAATGCATGGGACAAAAAGAATTGTGAACCTCTGGTCTGCATGCTCTTCTGAAAACAACAGTCTCGTCCTATTTGAATCTTAATATTTATAAAACATATAATAAAAGTCTTTTGCAACTTCTTACTTAACTCCTGCAAGAAAGGATAAATATTTATAATCAATTCTACATCAAAATATGACTTTCCTATATTTAATTATTTTTCTTACAAAATACCTTCAATATATCAATCTCATATATCCGGAACCATCTCATTTGCAAATACATGTTGGTTCAAATATGATAAGGATTGATGTTTTCCACAGAACCCTTTACTGCGAATGAAAAAGTTGGACATGTCACTCTTCAACATACTTCCCTGTCACTACATTTTTGTCAACTTCGGGAAGCATTTTCATAACAATATCTAGTTGGCTCTGAATCCACTCCTGAGCATTGACGGTTGCGGCATCGTTACCCGCAAACTGTAAGTGAAATTTAAAAGATTTAACCCTGGCAATTGCCAATGAAGCAATGGACCCACGGTTCATTGCGGTCATTATAGACTTCCAAAATGCATCCCCTTCATCCTAAAACAGCCGTAGGAAAGAAGTGGAGGTTCGCATGCGCATCACTTTGTTCTCATCTCTCAGCGTGTGTTGAATCCACCAGGGATACCCCTTACCATGGTGCAAATGTTTTTTTTTCCAATGGTTTCTACGCCATGAATGCTGACTGAAAGCATCGAAGCATTCGACAGTGGTGCACCTTATTCTCAGAAATAACCGATTTACACTACCAGTGTTCGTCCGGGGTGGCGAATTATTTCCAAGGGTTCTCTCGTTCCTCAGTGAAGCACTTAACAACTTAAACTCGAGGATTCCAAAGAGGCACTTTTCCTCATACTGTGCTTGTAATCGCTTCCGAATTTCTGATGGCTAGACGTTTTCTCAAACGAGAAATTTGATCACAATGCGTTGTTCCACGGTCAGAAGCAGCTGTTGTTCGTTCGTTACTCTCGTCACTGTCAGACTAGAGTGAGCAAGTTTTAATCTCCACGGGAGGTAAGGTAGTGGCTACACAAACCCAAAGACGTACAGGGCTGGGTACAGGTAGTAATTTGTAAAAATCACAGTCACGGTCGTATGTGAATTCCCTTTTTTCCCCTTGAAAAACGCTAACAAAATGCCAAGTAACCTTATATTCGAGCACATATTGTGAGTAAATTAAAAATAAACACATAAAATAAATTAACATGGATATTTACCTTTAACTAATCCTTTAAAGATTCTGCTTTTTTGCAATAAATGCAAACCACTTAGTTTCCAAATCTCAATACGTCCGGAAGTTTCAAATTTCAAAAGCAAACATTTGAACAATATAGCATATAGCAGAAACAGTCTCTACCTAGAATAAAATAATCTTTTAGAATATTATTGCAAATCGGAGTGTTACTTCTACTCATTGAAGTTGACAAATACAAACCCATGGCGATGAATAGCAGTCTCAAACATCACCTATTTTCTGTAAAATACTACTTGCTTGGGGAAATCATTAAGGAAAGTAATTTATTTGATTTTATACAGTTGGTAAAAATTATTATGACTTCAAAGATTAAGAAGCGATGAAGATTTTTTTGCGTATTCAACTGTCTTCTATCAGTTGATTCGAAAAGAAAAGCGAATTTATTTTTCATCAACTCCTTACTCTCGAGTGTGAACATCTGTGGGCTACTTCCCTTTCCCAAGATTGAAATTTTAATTTAAAGGGTACCTTTTGAAATCTTAAATTAATTTAATATTATCATTATAATGATTACAAACGGTACCTTTGAAGCTGATTTGTCAACGATTTCGCCATTGATTAGGTCACAGCTAATCAACTTCAACGGTACCTTTTGAAATTATTTTGGAACTTTAAGAAACGTAACAAGAAAATGAAAACGTATTCCAATTATTCACAAGGCATCCAAAGCAGGAAAAACATATTAATATCATTAGATGGAAAATATACAGAAAACAAAACGATGATAAAGATTTTCTCCCTGTTTTTGCAAATCTTGATTTTCTACAAATCCAATTCTAAGACTTTGTAGATGCATTACACACATCATTACTCCATAGAAAGAACTATTCGAGAAGTTTCCAACAATTTCTTGCATCGACCGCTTTTGAAAGAATGATTTTCTTCATCGAAATGCCCCTTACATTTTTTTCTATAACATACAGCATACAACATAATCACAATACAGATAATTACACGTAAGTGATTCAAAGATAACAGTTAAATCAAGAATTGAAAAAACGGTTATCAGATTTATATTTTATTATTTTTGTATTATTATTAATTAAAATTTTGCAAATATAAATACTTTCTCAGAATTGTCTAATTGAATTATTCTGTAATGAAACTTTTTTTTTAATTCTCTTATACTGGGGTATTAATTACAATGTTATCAATGCGAAAGAAAAAGTTGCATTCCAATAAAGAATCAACACGCATCTTGTAGAGTCAGTAGATTATTTTGAAGCACAGGACGTGAAAAATGTCTAATGCCATCGCCGGGACTCGATCCTTGACCTCTCGAATGCATGCCGAGTTAGCTACTGTTACACCACGAAGGTATAATGCAAGGACAGAGAAAACATACGCCCCATTTTTTAATTTACATAATCCCATTTTAAAGAGTGATTAGTGATTAGGCAGCCCAGCCGCCAAATTCTGGTGGTGACGAATTATTGTCCACCACCTTTTAAATCTGACGCCATTCGTAGGTTTGTAGAATTTTTTAGAATCAAGAAATTGAAGAAATCCATATTATCCTCGCTGGGATTCGAACCTTGATCTCTCGAATACGAGCTGAGTGTGCTGCCGTTACATCACAAATTAAACGATTGACTACTGTTAAACGATACTGAAAGGAGAGAAAAAAATTACCTTACAATCTTTAGACTAGCAATTATGTGGCGATGAAAGTTGATTTTTTTCGACTGCTCAATAACCATGAATAAAAGACTTTACTTAATTCCTTAGGACACTATTTCCTTTTTTAAGTATCTCTAGTTTCTCTCTTAAAATTCTTATGGCATGATGTCAAATAGCATTTCCAAACTTCATTTCGGTTATAATATTTTCTTTGCAACAATGAAGGTTATTATGGTCTTTATTGGTCGTTAATATCTACAGGATACTTCAAAGAATACTCAAAAGTTAAATTTAAAAAATACATTTTTAGGAACAAATTAGAAGCATTTCATAGTTTATTTAATTGATTAATTAATTAATTTAGCAACGGGTGCATTTTTTCCCTAGCTATCGGTTCATTGTCTTTGTATGCACAAATGTTGCTACATTTTCTTGACTCTGAAATCATTCTTTTCTTATCCCTTTTTAATTCTCTTATGTTAACATCAAAATCAGAGCCTTAAACATCTACAATTCAACACTCATCAGTGTATACAGAGTGGACAATTGAAACTGGTAATGTTGAATATTTCAAAATAAAGCGTTTTAGATAAAAATGTAGCAAATAACAATTAAGTGACTTGTAGAGAATTTTATGTAACTTAACCAATTATTCACAATTTCAGCCTTGATTCTAACTTCTCCTTTCCGTATTTTTCACCAGAACGCAAAGAGTAGTGAGTGTTTAAACTGAAGTTTCGGGATTTTAAAGCACAGCTCGTTTCTGGCATCGCTTGCGCTCTACGTTGTTAGTTTCCTACCAGCATTGTTTAATATTCAGGTTTGCATTCTCTCGCTGCTCATACTTTAATTCTGGTTGAGTTGGTGCTCTGGTAGAGTTAGTGAACCAGCTTTTAGTAGTATTTAATTGTGCAATCCTTGACTACTGTTAAACGATTGATTTAATTTGGACTGTTCTATCTCATGTTACATCACCACGAGTTGTGAAAACTGTAGCACAAGAGAATGAATGCCTTTTTGTTCTCAATTTTGTTTAAATAAATAAGTTATTTTAACGCTTTCGAGATTTTATTTTCGTTCTCAGACACAGCGGTTATTCGCTTTACGTCTGTTAGAATTATTAGAAAACCGAAAGGCATTACGTTAGTTGTGTGGTGTGGTGTATTTGATTATAGCAAAGCACACGAAGGCTATCTGCCTAAGGGGAGTGGCGCCTTCGTGGAGGACTTTGTAAGGGAAACTGGCTCGTATACACGTTAGACATGGGGAAAACCACGAAAACGCCCATGCAGCCAACCCGTTTGCGGGATTCGAACCTCGGACCGAACTACCAGTGTTCAGCGACTTTACCGCTCGGCCGCTTGTGGGCACTGGCATTACGTTAGGATTATTTAGGACAGTTCTGCTCAATCAATTTTGCCCCATGCATCCATTTCACCATCTCTAGATGATCATCCTTGCCCTCTATTCTAAAACTCAAAAAACACATGTACATTTACTTTAATTTAGATTACTTTTAATGGATTTTATAAAATAAGCAAAAAAAGTATAAAAATGTTGATAAATACCAAAACATGCATAAAATAGTTTTTTATATTCATAAATTAAAACTAAATGCTTAACAGGTAAATAAAAGGCAGACCGAGTTCTCCCTCTAAAACTGTACGAAATTCCAAGCGAGAATTTTCCTCTGGTTGAGAACCCCTGACTTTTAAAGTTATTTGATGTTTTCAAATTTAGTTTGCATCTTTTCAAAGTTATTTAAATATCAAACTAATTTTTAAGAGAAAATTGCATCTTTCATTTGTTGCTAGCAATATAGTATTCTTCGCATCGAAGGGGAAAAAGAAAGGAAAACTGCCCCTAAAAGCTGTTAACAAAGTTTACAAAAATACACAGAGATAAAAGTCAGCAATGAAAATATAAAATCCACTCAGCATAGCAAAGTACTATGTCACATTATGACGTATATCTTTCTGAAACACACTAAAACTTGCTTGTTTCGTGATTTAAATATTAAAAAAATTAAATTTGAATGCGTTTATGAAAATTCGAATCATTCTTCTTAATATAGGTATAAAATATAACAGAAATAATTTTTCCAACATCATAATCGTTTCAACTTAGATATGTGCACTAAAACATCAAAAGAAGAGCATCTCAAATTCTTCAGTTAATTGTTCTTAATACACATTCGTGTTGTTAATATTCTTAGGATTGTATTGATATGCACACTAAACTGGAAATGAAAGATACAGTACAGAAATTGTGAAATTAATAAAAAGATTTGGAGAAAAAATAAAATACAGTATTATGTATAAGAAAACAAGTTTTAAGATGAAATGCTGAAATGAATATATGTAAATTTATAAAATATCAAAAGCACAGCGTTCCGGAGTTTAGTGCAAGTAATTCTAAACACAAAGACAATTATCTTCAAGAGGAACATGAAGTACAAGAATTAACAATGTTAGAAAGTAAATTATGCTTTTCGCTATATACACTAAAATTACGAAAGAATCAAAATGAAAGTCATCAAATTTCATAGCAAATTACCTTGTGGGGTTTGTATTTATTTTAACTGGCATTTGTTTTAAGTTTAGGCTATCTTTCCTGTCAAGCCTTTGCTTTCCCCTAGAGTTGCCAGTGCCAGAGTGTGTAAATCGTAGTAGAACGCGCAGAGTATTCAAATTTTAGCAGAAGTAAATTGAGTTTAAATAGAAGGGAAACGAGATTGTAAGTGCTTCTTGAATCGCGAGCGTGAAGGTTGCTAGGTAGAAATTTAAGAACCGCGCGTTTCGGCCTGTGTGCCTATTTCGGCAGTTCGTTGAATCTTTCAACTTCTTAAACAGTAAGTTTGCTGAATCTCAGCTGTATCTTAGAACGCGGTTAAGTTAGTTACAATTATAGAGCCTCGTAGGTAGTGATTTCGTTATTTATTCATCCTGTCATTTATTTTTAGTTCTACTTTCTAGATATTTTGTTAAACCGCCGGGTAGGCGTAGTTTGTGAGCGTCAAGTGAACGCAGCTGTATTTCTAAAGTGGAGTAAAAAGGGATTTAACCCTTCTTACGAGTTTGTGTAATTTACAGTTCAAAGCAGTCACTACCACTGTTGCTGACAAGTTGGGGCCTCGCAACATTTGATTGGCGCCCGAACACCTTAAACTGAGATGGCCGAAAACTGGATGGAAGCTCCTGTACAACTCCAACAACAAGAAATGGCGAACCAGTTAGAAGGATTTGGATACCTGGTCTAAACGATGAGAGCATCTATCAAGCCAAACGTCAATTTCGATGGAAAAAATTCGGTGGCGATATTTTTAGAAGGCCTCGGAAATCACTTCCAGCTATACCCTGTGCCTGAAAGACAAAAAGTTGCCATTGCCACGTCTGCACTCAGAGGACTGGCCTCATTATGGTGGAAGAGTATAGGGAAATTTTTATTAGGAGAATTCAGATGCCAAATATATACCTTTGAAA